TTTAGAATGACATTAAAAAAACATAAAATCGGCTCTCACCTCGAGACTCGTCCACCCAGCCACACGACAGAACAGGGAAAGATGGCGCCCGGAAAACCTCGTCGGCTGGTCGTGTCACGAGCGCCATCAATTGGATAAGTTTCGCACAATTCGCCCTGATACAACTTGGACATGATACAACTCTCCCCGCTCTCCCCTACACAATGCAAATCACTTGGAATTCCTGCCAAGCTCTCGTTGTCATATAGTTCTAGCTCCCCTTTCAGCTTCATGGCTCTTTCTCTTTTTTGTATTCTTTCTACGCCATCTTTCTACGGCCGTCATTATGTAGCGTGGCCAATAATGAACACCCACTAGGGTTTGAAGCCCCGTAGTGAGTGAAGAATCAGGCGAAAAGGTGCAACAAGTCCCATTCTTGTTATGCATACTAGCTCACAGCAGTTCGCTGGCAGTGAATTCAGTTCGCACAAAAAAGTTGAGCATGACACGCTCAGCGGACGCGTAATTCTGTGAAAGATCAGCATATATGACGCATACTTTAGGGTGCCGTATACAAGCGTGCGTGCATCTATGCAAGTTGTAAGCACAGATGGCACAATTTCGGCGATTTTCACGCCAAAGCTACTTTCTTCCGGAGGGAAATGGCTACTGTCACGTTCCAATTCCCCTTGGCCTTGTACGAGTATCTTAAGGAGATTTAAAAACTTTCCAAAGGCCACATTCTTCGTAACATACGGAGCAGCCAGTCTGACAACGGGAACAAAACATAGACCACGCGTTTTCGCTATCGCACAGTTCATCATCGCTGCCTATTACCGGTTAAGAAGCCGACCGTCTCGAGTAGCCTGTTATCTGCGCTCGTTACACGTTATCTCACAATCGACAACCTTGTTCAACAAACGTGCTAAAAGGTGGACGATTCATTGCGATCTGCACCGATCAGCCAGATTTGTCCAGCAGCATGGACAGATGGTGTGAAGTGATCAACAGCCGCACCACGATGATGAGACGAGATGATCTCACACCGGATACTGCAGGGTGTATCACACCAGGTGATCCACGGATTATTTCTCGGACGATGACCGGCTTATGTAGTTACGCAGGACGGAGCAATGCGGTCGCACGTTTCACATTGACGCCAGGGCGTGTTCAGGTGGTAACGATGGCCATGCACTGATGGCTAAACCCTGATAGAAGGAAGTTGACTTTGCTGTTGTTTCATTTAATTGTGTGCCTAAAGTGCTAAGACATTTGGCACGATTATTAAGGAAACAGAAGTCGAGTTCACGTAGACCAATTCATAAAAGCTATTTCGTCTACTTAGACGACTTTGATATAAAAGTGGAAAAGATGGTTCAATTTATTTCTTCCTTGCTACTTAATGCCTACGAATCGTGCAATACCTACGTAAGAAGTGAATCGTTCTGCAGAATGACTCAACGGTTGTCAGTTTAACAGGTCAACCGTCAAGGCAATAGACGGAAGCTTTTATTTTGAAAAAGAGCCAATTGCAGGGAATATAGCCGCACGAATTATAAAAATCAAACCACAGAATGGGTTTCCATAGATTCAGACGACGTTCTTGCAAGTTGCACAATACACACCCACGTCCATAAGGAAAATAGCCGGCTGTGCGTCCTCAATTGACGAAGACTGGACCGGCTGACCACTGACCAATCATGACAAATCATGATCATCAGAAAATGATGTTGAAACGAAGCCAATGCGACCCGGATATACTTGAACGGATGACGCAACGCACAGTCCACAGACTACCCTCAGGTGAAAGGGAGAGACGATGTCCTGCTTTAGGCGAATCACCGATGCTGCTGCGACCAGGCAATCGATCGTGAAGCAGAGGTTCTAGATATTCCCGCCAGGTAGCACTAAGAACACAAACGATATTTGAGCGCAGACACTGCTCTTTCGGTCTTGAGACCATTTCAGGGTTGTTGAATGATGGGATAAGGCATAAATAACATGAAGCATGTTATCTTTGGATAAGTTAGTGTAGACATTGAGCTGAGTCGACCACCGACGGTCAGGTACATACCTAATTGACCTGACTTGGAAGGTCAGCGGTTTACCGATACCAAATCGGATAGGTACCATTGTCTTTCGCTTGTGGAGTGCAACACATCCGATTCTTTTCGAGGCTCTCGCTCAAGTACAGGGGCCAGCCCAAGAGAGGGGTGTACGAGCTGTCGAAAGAGAAAATGGATAAATGATAATACCGGCGAGGGTCAAAACACCATATACATGGCCGTTTTCTGAATCGTCATATTCAACCGGAATATCTGAAGTCGAATAAAGTACTATTATAGCCAGCGAGACAAAAATAGATTCGCGTGCAGCAGCTAAGCTCACATAATGCCAGCACGCAATGTTTCTTATAAAAATCAGAGACTCATCCACGTGGAAGTAGAACCAAAAGAACACGATGACGTAAGCACGTCAATTATTATTGTAGTATTTCCGTCACATCCATCAGCCGTTTTCGTGGAAGGTCTAACGAAGACAAATCCGTGGAATGGATGCAGTCAGCCGTAATGCAACCACTAATTATGAAAATCTTAGATATGTGAAGCCAGCGTTGTACTCAGGAAGTCAGGACTAGTACCTATCGAGACCAGAATAACTCCTGATATGCCGGATAGGTGTCGGACCTGTCGGTCATAGTACCGACAACCTTAGACCGGAGGGAGCCAAGACCTTTTTCTGGGAGGTTATTAGGAGACATTCGTCCCATTTGCAGGGTTGTGTGCAACTCAGTGCCCTCTCGACACCTTCCCAGTCCTGCACGGTCGCTGTCCGTTTCTCGGACACTGGCATCACTGGTGATTAGGTCACACGACCGCGTCAACTGGGTGACGAAATGTTGACTCACGCTATCATAGCTTACACCGAACAATCACAACTACAACACGGAGACCCAGCAGCCAGCGGCGGTGCTGTATTGTGGATTGTGGAAGGCTGCCAAGCTCATACTTGAAGCTAGCACCGGCGCCGGACATAGCGTGCTTTATCACAGGCTCTTGGGTAGGTATGATAAAGCACGCTGGCATGTAACTATTTGGGTATGTGAGTGTGTGGGTAGGTATCGTGGGTGCGTGCTAAGTGATGTCAAACGAAAACACCCCACGAGCCGCGACTACAATACAAATTACACAAAGGAGCCGTCCCATCAACACGATTTCAGACCATCAGCTAGCATAATATATAATGTTTCAGGCTTTTCCAGTTCAGCGTTACGATATCGGAAATATTATGTAAAATAAGGCCAAGCGTTTATTCCCCGTATATTTTTAGAGGCGCGTTAAGCGTTCAGTCCTTCAATGTCCACTGACCACCGCTCAGTGGATTTTACATTTTGGCCGGTTCCAGTTAAGCAAAGTTCCACTTATATCGATTCACGTGAAGCAAGGGCAACTCAAAAGACGCTTAGGCGTTGCAAAGTTCCACCCACCCATCGATCACTCACCCTGGAAACTACTGCGGTTAACGACACAGTAGTTTCCATGCCGCTTTGGAAAGGACGAAATGGACGAAATATGGACGAAATTCATATCCAGTTATTACACCAGACATCTACGAGTTGTCCGGTATTTCTGATGGCATACAATGAAATTTGTGAAATTCCGACGCCTAACGTAAAACGGCGGCAAACGTTAGGGAAGGGTGGGAACGCCGCAACATCTATTTTTCATTTCTAAGTAGAGAACTGTTACTAGACAATAGGCATATCACATGCATGTTATCACGTCACTTATTGTTGAAAGCATATAATTACGTAATTTTCCAGTAAAGATAGCACACCAGTAAAACGCCTTTTGGGCGAGGAACGAGCGAGCGAGATAGTGAGCCCTGCACATGCGGAAGGGCGTGAGGGTACTTCCAACGGGCTTGCGCAAAGCACCCCTCTAACCGGTCGCTAGCGGTGTACCAAATTTGAACGCAATCGGCCCAGTCGTTCCTGAGATCTGGAAGCGGCACTATGCACGTGCGCACGTGCAAACGGGGTCCAAACTGACTTTTGCACGGCACCCTACTAACTGGTCCCCAACCGTGTACCAAATTTGAGCGCAATCGGCCCAGCCGTTCTCGAGATCTGGAAGCGCCCCCTGCACGTGCGCACGTGCAGTAGCACCTTAACCGCAACACATGGGAATGCATTGCCTGGTGGGTGCCTACCTGTATGCCAAGTTTCAGCGAAATCGCCCCAAAAATTACCGAGTTATTAAAATGGAAACAAATTTGACACCTCTTATTGTTGTATTTTGCACGTGCACTGGGGGTGACCCACATGCATCGAGAGTATCCTATTTTTGGTAGAAGGGATGCTGCTACCCTACAAAAATTACCGCAAGTCAATCGCCCAAGCGGCTGCTGAGATATGAGCCTCTCAAAATCACTACTTTTGCAAAACAGCTTGAATGCCCTTGACTTTTCACGTGGCACGTGCCACGACGGTCACTGAGATGTATCAAAAGTAGTCAATTACGGGGTAGAAGGGATGGGGCTACCCAGCAAAAAAGACCGCAGGCCAATCGGTCCAGCGGTTGCTGAGATATAAGCCTCTCAAAAGCGTTACAGGCCGGGCCGGGCCGGGCCGGGCCGCTCATACTGAGATTTTTCCGTTATATTGAAAAGACTCGCTTCGCTCGCTGCGCTCGCTCGCTCGTAATAAGCACTGACCAAATTTAGGGCAAAATAGACTTCAGTCTGAAAATTTTCATATAAGCTCAATCTTAAATTTACGACAAAATCCAGTATACCAATTTTACAAACAGCAGTCTACGGAATAAAAGCCCGGCTTCATTTTCCACGGACCAACACCGTACCATCAAGCAGCTACCGATAATAATTTAGATCGACTCTGGGCGAACGGAAGAACGAACGGATCACACACCGCCGAGTCACTCTCAAACCACACATGAGAAAACACGACACAGACTCAAGACACCCATCAAGCAGCCCACCCACCATAGCGGGTGACCCACCTTGATTTTCGTTTGGTGTCCATCCTGGTCTCGGGGCTGCTCCTGTATAGGTGCCGATCGCTCCACCGACCGGGCAGACGTGAACTGATTCACACGTCAGTCGATACGGCACACTGACGTCGGTGGTCGTACGTGACGTGACGTCACGTTACTATTGATGTGACGTGACGATCCTCACGCCTTACTGCTCCTCACTAAGGATCGTCCACAAGTGATGCCGGACCGCCTGTATCGAGTGGGCCGCGCCGCAGTGCACTGACTCGGGGCCTCCAGCCGAGTGCGATCTTTCCTCCAGCTGCAGGCGGCGGGGCCAATCTGAGCTGCGCAGAGCAGGGGCCAGCCGGATGGACGAGTTTCCGGCTTTCTGCCGCGCCGTTACTGCAGCCGCCGCGCCGGTTTGGGAAGTTCCACCGGTAACCGCAGGTCGAGTCCGGTGTGTTTGACCTATACGCCGAGCGGACGCGTTATCTGCGACACGGTCGGACGGATCACCGTCACCGCGGGTCGTCCGAGAGCCGGTCTGTCGCTGAGTGCAGTGTCTCACAGGTCACACTCGCTGTACCCGACACTTGTAATCGTCACGCCGTGCGGTAAGATAACACAACCACCGGTGACAAACCACCGCAAACCACAGTTGATTCAGACTAAAACTGTCACAGTTCTCCCTCAGCTGCCGCCCACAGAAGATGAGTTCCGCTTCCGATCACCGAGTCTGACAATTGACAAAGCACTGCTGACGATCAGTTCGGATCAGCCGCTATCGCCATCCCACGCGTGGACATCACTACACCGTCCTCTCCACTGCATTGACTCACACTGCGGTCCGTGTCCGTCTCCACCTCGATCTCGCCAGAGTGTCACTTGTCTCCTCTGTCCGCCAACGGCTGTCACTGGGCTGGCACGGCGCGGGAGCTCCGTCCCCCCCCCCCCCGCCGCCGACGACGCACCGCAGGCTGTGCGCTGCACGCCCACGCCGCACCCTGGAGCCAATCTGGTGAGGTGCCAGGGGTTCAGCCAGCGGCGATACCAATCTCATCGAGCCGACAGCGGGCGGGCCGGCCAGCCCGCAGCGCTGCCAGCTTTCCAGAGGCTACCGCGGCGAGCTGCCCCGTTTGTCCATCGGTGGCGGCAGGGGGAGGAGAGGGGTGGGGGTACCGTTGAATACGAGACGGACGGGACAGGACGCAAGTTCACTGCTGCTCCGATAACGCAGTTACGCAACACACGGCGCTGGAGAAGCCGGATGGGGAGGGGACCGTAGGGGGAGGGTCACCGCAGTCCGGTCTGGCCGTGCGTGCGTGACCTTAGTTCGTCTGCAGTTTGCGTCAGCCGCAGCAGCCGCCAGAGGAAACGCACGAACGCCGGATGTCGGTCGCAGATGAAGAGCGAGGCTCGCTCCAGCTCCGCGCGGAGGCGGCGCACGGCCGGCGCCCACTGCGGCTGCCCGTCGCCGGCCGCCGACTGCAGCAGCGTCTCCAGCATGGTCAGAGTGTAGTGAGAGTTCTCCAGGACGGCGGCCGTGTCGGCGCCGGCCGGCGGCAGGCCCAGCAGCGCGCGCCGGTGCTCCTGCTGCAGGTGGGCGGCGGCCGCGGCCAGCCGGTCGGTCAGCAGGACCAGCAGCGGCGCGGCCAGCGGCGGCACGGCGCCCAGCGTCAGCAGCAGCCGGCTCTGCTGCAGCTGCGCCGTCTGCCGGCTCAGGTCGCGCGGGGACAGCACCGACTCCAGCAGCCGCTCCAGCAGGCCGAGAGCCGTCGGCTGGGCGGCCGTCAGCAGACGGGGCCGGGCAGCCAGCACGCGACAGGCCACCTGCAGGCCGTGGTGCAGCGACAGCCAGACGGCGTCGGCGCCGTCGGCGGCGGCAGCTACGTGACGCAGCACCGTGTCCAGCGCCGTGTCGAGCTCGGCGTCGGTCGGCGGCGGCTGCCGGCCGGACGCCGCCCGCTGCAGCCGCGTCACCGACTGCAGAAACTGGAGCGAGGCGCACCCACTCGGCGACACCAGGGGCTCCGGAGGGGCCGGTGCGGACGCGTCACCGCTGAGTTTTGACGAGTCGTCGATTTCAGAGGTGTTCTCGTCAACTGCCTCTGATAATGAGGTGTTTATGGAAGCATCGTCATTGGGCCTCTTTTGTGAAGCACCATTGTCGTCTGTACAGACGCGTCCTAGCTTTAGTTGTGAATTATCCGAAGTGATTGGCGATCCACCGGTCTTTGAGGGAGAGTCAACACCTCTCTTTTCTGGAGAGTCACCATCGTCGACGTCTTCTCCGACCGGGAGGGGCGCGTGGATTGCGTCCAAACGAGGAGACTTTGAATAAGTGCAACCGAACAGCTCCCGCTCGACTGAAAAAACCGCCGCGATGTCCGCAAATGGATCGGCGTTGGCAGCTATCTTGCTCCGGAGAAGTTCGACATAATCTTGAGTCGAAACGCCGGCAGGGCGCAGTCTTATTATCGATATGGCGAGTGCAAATTTTGTGCATGCCATCACCTCTGCGAGTTTTATTTACAGCTTGAACTCCCTTTAGCCCTCGGAAGTGGCCGATGAAGCACCTATATTCTGTAGAGAATGGTTTCATTTCAATCTGAAACAAACGACATCACAGCAAAGCAAGCTAGACGGTATATACTGCCTTGAGCTAGACAACCTTGTCTTGACCATTGCGCAGCCAAAAGGACGAACACTCAATTCAATTCAAGGACGAATTGAATTCAAATTACCTACCACAGTGCATTAACCTTGATATTTACGATATTTACAAACTAACAAACCCTATTTATTTGTGCAGTTTTGAATAATTTCAGGAAATCTACAACACAATCTCAATCAAATTTCAACGGTGAGTAGGCCCGCTGAGTTCAACGGAGTTCATATAGAGCCTTGAGTTGAGAGTTGAGACTTGGTTGAGACGCCTTGGTTGAGACCTTGCTTGAGACCAAGCTTGAGACGAGTTCAACCTTGTGATTGTGTTGTTCTTTTTCCCCATGCCCAAGATTCTTACAGATTGAGATACTTTTTCCCGTTTTCCCGTGTATTTAAAGCTTGCTTTTTCCATTGTAAATACCCTGCCAAGGCCCTGAATACCCTAAATTGTTGTACCTACCCTGCTGCTAATTACATACGATACATAATTTGGCTCTCTCTATCGTCTGGAGGTTTCGAAAGATGCTCTCCAGAGATGGCGCTAGTAAATTTGGCTGACATGACGTCATGCTAAAAAGTGATGGGTTTTGTGAGAGCAAATGTAATAATAGTTGAAAATTTTGTACTTTTGCTTAATTAAGAAAAAATAAATATACAATTGTTCAAAACAGCGTTTTCCTCATTCATCCTTCATTGTTTTTAGAGGAATATAGACAGTTTAAATATTTTTTCTTGACCGCAATTCGCACACGCACTAAATTAAAAGCTGGAGTTTTGTGCGTTCGTAAATCGTGATTTGAGAAAATAAGTTGACAATAATCTTTTGCACTTTTGCTTTACAATCATTTTTCAATGCAGATAAATACATAATTTATTCGAAAATAGGCATATCTTTGAAATATTATGATTTTCCACAAGCAAATTTTCCCAAAAACTTGAACTACTTACAACTGACGAACGCATCCAATAATCTGGATGTCTTAGGATGAGTTCGTCATTTTTTCCCAAGGAAATACGATACAGTTCAAGCTATTTTACCGATTTATTAGGGTACTTTTGCCAATGAATTAATAAATAAATGACAACAATTAATCTCATTATCAACCATACTCGGAAGAATTTTCTTCGCATAAGCGCGAACACATCCGCGCTTTCATGAAAAGTCACGCCTGTAGATGTCAGGACTGCTGCTTTATGTTTCGCAAGGTGGCGCAGCGCGCAGGGTACCGACTACCGAGGCTGAGGTCTCCAGACTCTCCACCACGATTTAACTTGGAAATGGCCGATGGGGAAGGTCTAACCCAAAAACGGACGCCCTTTTACACAGCTGCATAAAGAGAATGAATTATTGGCATAGCTGACCACACGTCCCCTCCCCCTCTCCGCCCCAGCTCAATAGGAAATATCGCCTATTTTCCTTAGTCAGTTATATTCTGACTAATTTCTCACTCTTCCCAGTAAACCTTAACATGCATGATGCAGATGTTCACTGCGTAAGTCGTGTGCTTCCGTAAGTGTGCCAACTATATAGTGTTGCCTACACTCTACAGTACAGCCTACTGCTTCCCCATTGTCGTTATAATTGGTGATTCTCAGGTCAAAAGTTACACAGTGGTCTCAGAGAACAATCGTTTCAACAAATTAACGATTCAAACCGTTGCATTCTACTTATATTCCGGTCAGTTCTGCTACTAAACGATTCCGGCAAAACACTCTTTAGGTTATGTATTAGCGAACCACCACACAAAATTCGCCCAATCAATGGTCAGTTATTACTGCTGGGCTGAACCGTCATACGCTATATAGCCTATTGCAGTCAATATTTTCAGAACGATACTGACTGACGAAACACAACGTATTCGCGGATTCGCACATACGTTGGCACCCAGGTGGCCTGTCAGCAGCCGCACAAATCCGCACAGCGCAGCCGGGATTTGACATTGAGATGGTACACCGTAAAGCATGCCTTTCCACACAGGCACAAGCACAGGGACACAAATTCTCAAAATCCAAACTTATTCCAATACTGGTCAATTACGAATAGGCATAAAGTTTTGAGGTTTTCTCATGTTCATTCTTCTTTCAACACACGCGGCAGACTGCAGCAGCTGCAGAACATCTCACAGAGCTGCGCTGGATGCAGTCATGAGCTGGGACACGGTTTGTGACCAATGACCGATCGGGGGTGCCAGCCTCCTCCCGGCACGCGATGCACTGGCCGCCGCGCAGTCGATGTCGGGGCACCGCCGGCATTCGCCGACAGGGTTCCATCCGATTCGGTGTATTGGTGGCAGCCCGAACAGTGACCCACGCGAAGCTGGCGGACGTCGATGGCCGATGAGCGATGCCCTTCCGCGACCGGCGGTGGCAGTCGGTCCCACATCAAGAACAGATACCAGTCATGCGGTCAGTCGGCGACGGCGCTGTCGCGAGCCGATCTGATGGTCGCGCGGTGGGCGTTGCCGACGTCCACCGGGACCGTCGACTGGGGGAGCGCGGCCGCCTCTTGGCCGCCGCCTCTGGTCGGCGCGCTCGTTGCGCTGTGGGACGGCATCCACTGCAAGTCGTTCACTGTGAAACGGTCGTTTGACCGGACCTGGCAGGCGGGGAAAGGGGGCCTCAGATGAAGTAAAACCATCCCTCAGGCCAGCTTGAACTGGCTCTCCACCTCACCATGTTAGATAAGCAGACACCCTCGTGATCATCGCAGCGATGATTGCCAATTGGTGTGTCATTATGGGAGAGGATGCCAGCCTCCTTTGCAAGATAGTCTGCCTTTAAATT